CAGGGAGTCCAGTTCCTGGCCAGTCCATTCTGGGTGGCAATGGCTCCTTCAATAAGGCTGCTCAAGACCCAAATCCAGTTTGTGGAGGATGTGTCATCATGCCACACCTACAGGTTCTTTAGGCCCATTCCTTCAGAGAGGTCAGATGATTTTTCTCCTGTCCCCTTCTCTCACCCTATCTCTGGGGCTGGACAGTCACCCAGGAGTGCTTTCTTTGCTCAAATACACCTGGCAATATAATATAATATAATATATGATATGGCTTTGATCTACTTACTGCATCAGCAGTGAAACCTATTATCAGGGTATAGAAACCTATCAGGAAAGCCACCAACCATCCATGGAAATAATATGGTGCTAAAGTAAATTTGTCAGATGTGACATCTCTACCCTAGGTGCACACCAGATGTCTCAAATACCTGGCACAGATATACTTAGTCTCCAGATATTCCTGCCCTAACAACTGGCGTCTTCCCAACCTCCACTCTGTGCGTCTGGATTTTCAGATGAAGGAGGGGGTAGGAAAGGATGGGAAGTGACTTTAGATTCTCTTTTTTTTTTTTTTTTGTTGTTGTTGTTGTTTATTTGTGTGTTGGTACATGTTGTACCACAGTGGACATAATGCCATGGAGGATAACTTGAAGGAATTAGTCCTCTCTTTCCAGGGATTCTCGGGACGGAACTTGGGTTGCCAGGCTCAGTACCCGCTAAAACATCACAACTCCTACAAATGATTTTTCAGTGGTTTTCCTAATCGCTGTGCCACCTTATCCCACCTTACCTTCTCAGGTGCAAAATAATTGTAAAATCCAGTCTTTATTTCCTACATGCCAGGAAATTATCTCTTCCACCTTCTCTGCTTATTTCTGTTTTCTCCCTTCGCATCCTCTCATCTTTGCCCTTTCTGTCCCTCTATTCTTAGTAAAGTAAATGAACAAAAGAATAAATAAATAAATATAAAAATTGAAGTACAGTGTACACAGAGAATGTACTTAGCACAGAGGATTTTTGTTTGTCAATTTTTTTTTAATTAGAGATGAATTGTTTCTTTGTTACAAACAGTCCGTGGTCTCCAATGGTAAAATAGAATATCTTGGGAGAATAAAAAGTGCTGTTACTGAATGCAGTCTTATATTTGTAAAGAAAAACCACTGCTCCAAAAAAGTTGAGAATACATTTATTTGCTTATCTACTTATTTATTTATGGGGCACAAGCCTGTTTTTTTTTTATTTAAAAAATTTATTTTTTATTTTACATACCAACCCCTGTTTTCCTTCTTCCCTCTCCACCCACCTTCCAGGATTTCTTGATAAATGTTCACAGAGTTAACATGCCCGTGTTAACATGCCCATGTTAGAAGGTGGAGTCAAGGAGACACCATGTACTGAAGGAGAAAGACACCACTGGAACCTTACCGATAGGTCATAGCCTTGTGGTGATACATAGATGAATAGAAACGGGTTAATTCAAGATGGAAGAGCTAACTAGAAGTATGCCTGACTCACTGGCCAAAGTAGCTTCTTTATTAACTAATGGCAATAAAGCAAAACATATTTACAGCCTACAGAGGGGAATCCCACATCACATGCTAACATGTCCGTCTTAACATGCCTGTGTTAACATGCCGTGTAAACAGCTCTGGGTCAGGCAGGAGAGGACCCTTCTCACTTTTTAGTCCCCACTTTAAGTGTAAGTATTGTCTTATCTATACTTGATATGTGTTTCCCTGGTGTAAGGCCTGCAGATATTTAGGCAGCTGAGGAAAAAAGGATAGGAAATTCCAGCCAGTGTGCACTACATAATGAGTTCAAAGCTATACTGAACAACTTAGTGAGATCCTACCTGAAAATTAAAAAAAATAAAAATAAATAAGGTGCCGGAGCCAGGTATGGTGGTACTTACTTTTAATCCTAACCCTTGACTGGCCAAAAGTCAGGACGATCTCTTTGAGTTCAAGGACAGCCTGGTCTACATAGTTATCTCCAGGACATCCAGGACTACATAAAGAGACCCTGTCACCAAAGACCAATTAATTAATTAGTTAGTTATAAAATGAAAATATAAGGAGGGTGGGAAATGTAGCCCAGTAGCAGAAAATTTTCCTATATATACTAAGTGAGGGGCTGGGGCATGACTCGATGATTGGGCCACTACCTAGAATCTCCCAATGAGAAGCTGAGGTGGCTCAATGCTAGAATCCCTGCCTAGAATCCACAGTGAGGGTCTAGGGGTGTGACTGATTATAGAGAGTATGCCATTTTGTTCATCAACCACAGAGGTCAGTTTTCATTTTCTGTACTGACCCCCCAACCCCAACACATTAGCAAAAAAACAAAAACAAGAAAAGCAACTAAATAACCAGAAAACATGAAGCATAAAACATAAATAAATAAATAAATAAATAAGCACCCCCCCAAAGCCAGAGGCTACAGAGCATGCATCATTTGCCTCCTTTTTTGATATTTATTTTCATGTGTGTGTCTATGTCACAGTGTGTGTATAGAGGTTAGAGAAGAACTTTTAAGAGTCAGTTCTGTTTTTCAACCTTGTGAGTTCCTGGGATTGAACTCAGGATGGAAGGCTTGGCAGCAAGCACCCTTCCCTACTGAACCATCCTGTAGACCCCTAGCTTCCTTAATTTTTCAACCTTATGTAGGTGGAGATACCTAGGATATCTATGTTTATTCCGGGTGTCTTTTATAACTTGATGTCTGTGAGGCATATCCACAGTAGCTAACATTGTGACAATTTATTCCTCCATCCTGGAGGAATTTTTGGTTTTGTATCATGCAATCTTGTCTGGGAGGGATTGTCAGTAGACTCTTTGTTATAGTTGGTTTCTATAGCTGTGATAAACACCACAACCACCTTCTTATAACTTTTCCCTTCTCATGAAGGGAAATAATTCAGGACCAGAGCTCAAGGCAGGAATCTGGAGGCAAAAACAGAGGCAAAGACCATGGAAGAATGCTGCTTACTAGCCCACTTGTTTCACATGGCTTACTCAGCTTGTCATCGCCTCTTCTTCTTCTTCTTCTTCTTCTTCTTCTTCTTCTTCTTCTTCTTCTTCTTCTTCTTCTTCTTCTTCTTCTTCTTCTTCTTCTTCTTCTTCTTTAAAAATCCACTCATTTTATTTTATGAATATGAGTGTTTTGTGTGTGTACATCATATGCGTGTGCTTGGTACCTGAGAAGGCCAGGAGGAGTCAGTAGAATTCCTGGAACTGGACTTATAGAAGTTTGTGAATCACCATGTGGTTGCTAGAAATATAACTCAGGTCCTCTGCAAGAGCAGTCAGGTACTCTAGATCACTAAGCTGTCTCTCCAACTGAACAGCTTTCCTGTTATACAATCCAAAACTACTCACCCAGGGGTGGCACTGCACACAGTGGGCTGAGCCCTCCCACATCAATCATCAATTAAGAAAGTGCCTTGCAGACCTGCCTACAGGCCAATCACTCATTTTACAAACCAAAAGACAGAAGTTCAGAGAGATGAAGCCCTGAATTCCAGGAGTCTGGACGTCTCTCTCCCGTCACCTCTTTAAGTCATCCTAATTCTCTATTCTAGGAATATATATGTCAGACACAAACTTTTTCCTCCTGATCTAACTTTGTGGTTTCTCTAGGATGTGGTCATCTGTAGAGTGTGTCTCAATCTTCAGGGATTTCTGAACAGAAATGAGGAAAAAAAGGGGGAAGTAGGTGTGGGGCTACTTGAGTAATAGGAAGTAGGTTTCTGTCTGATTTTCAAATAGCAAGGGATGTGGTTTTACTGTGTCAGTACACCAAGTGGTTAAGATAGAACCACATGGAAATAAGGTCCCGCCCATTCCCCTCAGTCCTAAACTCTTTCCATTCTGAGTTCACCATAACCAAACTCCTGTTCTCATGGTATTCTTCACTTTGGCGGTTGTTTTATTATCCTTAGATGGGAACTAAAGGGAAAATCCTATTTATTTATAGCACTTGTGTAAACAGAGGTATGTCCTAAACAATTCTCCCTTGTGTGTGTGTGTGTGTGTGTGTGTGTGTGTGTATGTGTGTATGTATACCTTCGCAGAGCTGTACTATTTGATTCAACTTTGATACTGTACTCTGGATTTAGGGCAGCCTAGAGATGCTAATTACTGAGTTAACAGCTCAGTAGCCTTGGGATAGGGATATCAGTCTTTTAGTAGCCTGCTTCCTGATAGTCAGGAAACTCTGCATTCCATCCCCAGCACCACACAAACCAGGTGTGGTGATGTGTTTTTAATCCTAACATGCAGGCAGGATGACCTGTTCATGGACCAAGGGAGATGAAAGGCTCAGGAGGTAAAGTGCTTGCTATAGAAACATGAGGACCTGATTTCAGATCTCCAGAAAGTCTTTAAAAAGTAAGGACAGTGCGCACCCATGATGCCTGATGCCAGACCTAGAGATGGCCAAGACAAGCAGAACTCCAGAATGCATTGGCCGTCTGGTCCAGTAAATTGTTAATCTCTGGATTCACTGAGAAACTCTTTCTCAAAATAAGGCAAAGAGTGAAAGAGGAACATATCTGATATTGACGTCTGGCATCCAGATGCATGTTCAGACTCAGACACAGACAAGCACAGACACAGGCATGCAAGCATGCACGCACGCAAGCACACAGAAGTTAAAGGTCATCTTTTACATGGAATGTATGAGACCCTCTTCTTCCCCTCCCCACAAATGGGCTTTCACAGAGTTACTTACACATCTGTCTGACTTGGTTGCAAATCAAGGATTTCCTCAGTTTTTTTTTTTTTTGGAAAATTTTATTTTTCCCATTTCTTTGTTAGTTCTTTGAGAATTTCATGCAATATACTTTGCATATTTATCCTATCATCTAACTCTTCCCAGAACTTCTCTCACTTCCTTTCCCTTCCCTCCACTCCCCCCCTTCTACTTGACTTTGCATCCTCTTATTTCCTTTTTTAAAAATAATTTATTTAAATTTATTTTATGTGCATTGGTGTGCAGGTATCATAGCTTCTGGAACTGGAGTTACAGACAGTTGTGAGTTGGCATATGGGTGCTGGAAAATGAAAGAAAGTCCTCTGGAAGAACAGCCAGTGCTCTTAACTGCTCAGCTATCTCTCCAGCCACCTCTTATTTCTTTTTAAAAAAGCCCATCCAAAAAATATAATAAATCACATACTCTGTGATATGTGGCCTTCCAGTGGAGCATGGCTGATCTTCCAGAGATCAACCCGTGAAAAAAGACACTCCTACAATCTTCCAATTGCCAATAGCTCCTCAGTTAGGCATGGTACTTCATGCTCACCTCTCCTTTCCATACTGAGATTTGGTTTGGCTTTAGCTTGCACGAACATCATTCACAATGTCATAAGCCCTGTAGCTTTGTATGTGCCACTGCCTTGTGGTGCCCAGAAAACTCTATTTCCTTGTAGACAGCTGCCACCTCTGACTCTTACAATCTTTTTGTTCCCTAACACAGTCTCTGTTTCACAATGATCCCCTGAACCTTGAGAGGATTGTGTGTGATATACATTTTCCATTTGGGATTGAGCATTCATTAGTCTTTTGTTCTCTACATCTTAACCAAGTGCGGATCTCTGTAGTTTTTATTATCTCCAGGAAAATGAACCTTCTCTGATGAGAGCTGAGAGATGCACTACTCTACGTGTAGAATGATACTCACTACTAGTTGGTTAACACTATGTCTAGTTAGAATAGCAGTCGAAGGTTCTCATCTAGGGCCTATAACCTCTTTAGTCAGAGGCTCATGGCTCTGAGCATGGTGGCAGATATGGGTTTTGATTTTTGTAGTGGGCTTTAAATCCAATAAAAATGTTGCTGGTTAATCTCATGATGTTTATGCCAGTATTGTACCAATGGATATGACTTGTCAGGATGGTTGTTATTTGAGCTCTCAGTCCTCACCAATGGATAAGCCTACTGATTCCTTTCTAGTGGCATGCACAGCACCTCCTAGCCCTATATAGCTGTGCTGCAGATCCGTACAGATCTAATAAAAACAGCCCGCCCCTGGCTTCAACGCAAACCCATTGATCACCGAAACTGACTGCAGATCTACAATAATCCCTCAATAATCCCACAATAATCACTGCAGTAGAAAGCATCTTCAACAAATGGTGCTGGATAACCTTGATAGCCACATGTAAAGGAAAAAAAGCTGATTCCTTATTCTCACTCTGCACAAAACTCAGCTTCAAATGGATTAAGGACTGCAACAAGAGACTTGAATCTGATATAGGAAAAAGCAAGGAATACACTTGAACTCATTGTCATAGGAAAAACTTTTAAAATAGAACCTTAAAGTACAGGTGTTAAGATCACCAATAAATAAATGGGACCCAATGTCACTAAAAAACTTTTATACAACAAAGAACATAAGCACTTAAGTACAGAGGCAGTCTACAGAATGGAAAAAAAATCGTTATCCACTGGACATCTGACAGCAGATTAGTATCTAAAACATACAAAGAGCTAAAAATCAAATAAGTAAAATAAAAATAAAAAAGCTAAACATCAAGAAAGCAAACAACCCAATTTAAAGACAGATTTCTCAAAGGAGGAATTACTAATGGTTACAAAACATTGAAATGGATGTTGAAAATCCTTATCTAGCAGGAAACTATTTTAGGTTTCTTCTTACTCAAGTCAGAGTGGTCAAGATCAAAAGAACTCAAATGACAACAAACGCAGGTGTGTGGTGGGGGGGCTGCTGGAGGGATGGTGGTGTGTGCTGAGTGGCACTTATTCACTGTTGCTGACAGTAAAACCTGGAGTACCCTTCTGGGTTCATTCACCTTGGAGCAGGTACTTCAGATACCAGATACTGTACAAATTGGACTAATTTGGTTGTAGCTGTACTGAAAGCCATGAGGGAAAACACTGGTCTTATGAGGGCAAGTGATATGATATTTCAATTATTTAAAATATTTCAACACAGGGGATCAGGAAATTGTGCAGTTCAAGGGTTAGGAGTCTTTCCCCTTCTTCCTTCATTTTCTAAAGTAAACATGCACACATTAGCCACAGAAGGACACTTAGGAGAATTTGTGGGTTTACATCCTGTGAGGGGACTAGAGGTGGATAGTATTAGTAACAACACTATAGCACTAGCTGTCGTTTATAAGTATCTCAGACTAACAAGAAAATGTATGTTCTTTTTGCCTTTTCTCTTTATTGACTATCTTGGGTTGAGGTAATAAAAGTCCAAAAATTCATCTCAGGTTTTTTTTTCTAATGAGTGTATAGGTCAACAGGGAATGTCTATACAAAGCACAGGGGAACTGAAAGCAGATAAAGCTTAGCGTTGGGGCTCTCTCTTCACGCTGCTTGTACATTGTCTTTAGAAGGTAGAGAGGAGTTGGTGCTCAAGTTGGTGCCTGTGTCACTGGTCTGGGCTGAGTCCTCGCTTAGAGCCCTCTCTAGACTAGCTGGCAGGGAGTGGATTAGTTTCTCTCTGAAGTCCTGGCCCATGAAGACGTAGAGGATTGGGTTGAGGCAGCTGTTAAAGAAAGCCAAGGCGCTGGTGACATTCACTGCAACCATGAGGTTTGGAGTGATAGCATTCTGGCGTTCACGGACTCTGATTGTGGCTATTAGGGCCACTATCTGATAAGGGCACCAGCAGAGGAAAAAGGCAGCCACAACGAAAGAAAGGACCCGCAGGGGACGGCTGGATTTGATCAGGCCTTGCCTGTGCATTTTAGTGGCTATGAGCCCATAGCAAATGGCTACAATGGACATGGGTGTGCTGAACCCAATGATGAACCTGATGATCCCTCTGACAGTAAGCATGGTGACTTGCACCTTCTTCTTCTCTACAGGGTCTTCCGTCCAGGGGGAGAAGTCAATAGTACACATTGTTTTCCCTGGTTCAAGTATATTAGGAACTGTGGTCACACGAATGATAACTGGCAAGGTAAGGAGAAAAGCACAAATCCAGGGTACAATGATCACTTTCTTGGCCAGGCTCACGGTTCTGTGGTTCTGAGCCCAGACCGGATGCAGGACACAAATACAGCGGTCTAGTGCTATGAGGGCGATCAGGAAGACACTTCCAAACAGGTTTATGTCGACTATGGTAAATATGAACTTGCACATAAACCAACCAAATGCCCAGTGCCCTCCCATGGCCCTGGAGGCAATGAAAAATGGCAATGTGGAGGTGAAACAGAAGTCCGCAACGGCCAAGTTCAAGTAAGAGATGGTGGTGACTGTGCGTACCATGCGGAAGCCGGCCACCCAGATCACGAGCCCGTTGCCCAGCACGCCAAGGACAAAGGTGACTGCAAACATCAAATATGAGAAGACATTCAGAGCGACATGACCTGCAGATACTGACTGGGTCCTTGCAGACATATTCATGGGGTTCCCTGCAGACATATTCATGAGAAGAGAGATGTTGGAGTCCATCTTGTTCACACCTAGAACATTAAGAAACAGGGATGTTTGTTTGTTTGTTTGTTTATTTATTTATTTATTTATTTAACTTTTTCTTTTCTCCTTGAGACAGAGTCTCAGCACACTCCTTTTCTAGCCTAGAACTCTCTCTATAGACAAAAGTGTATGCAAACTCACAGAAATCTGCCTGCCTCTTTCTGCCTACTGGGATGAAGGGTGTTTACCACCATGCCTGGCTTTAGTTTTCTTTTCATTTACTATGAGTGAATGTTTTCTTCGTATGCATTCGTGCATATGTGCACACCTATGTGGTACCCTGAGGTTGATGGCAGGCATCTTCCTCTACCACTCTTCCTCTTCATTCATCGAGACAGGGTCCCTCGGTTTAACCCAGCACTCAGAGCAATGGCTAACCTTGGTAGGCAGATTACTCTGGGGATTGGCTCTCTCCACTTTCTGAGACTGGAATTATAGGTAAACCACTATGCCCAGATGACATTTACATGTTTTTTTGGGATCCAAACTCTGGCCTTCACATTTGTATGTAAGCAATTTAACTACTGAGCCATCTCTTCAGTACCAATTTTTGAAAATGCCAAGAAAGGCAGTTTTCCTTGCCTTTATTGTACTGAGTCTATTTTCCCTCTGAGCCCCTCACACCCAAGCTAGAGCAAGCTTCCACTGCCTGACATGCTTACCCATGTTGTTAACCTCTCTTTTTTGTTTGCTTGTTTTTGTTTTTCAAGATAGGATTTCTTTGTGTAGCCTTGGTTGTCTTAGAACCAGCTCTGTAAACCAGGATGGCCTCCAACTCACAAAGATCCACCTGCCTCTACCTCCCAGGTGCTGGGATTAAAGACATGTGCCACCACTGCCTGGCTGTTGTTAACCTCTTACCAGATAGGGGAAGGTAGTGCCTATGTTTCCACAATTGCTAATATGCCTTCTGCTCCAAGGCAACTACTTGACTGATGTAGATCCTTAACTTACAAGGAGTGGGGGGACACCCTCAAAACTGGATGAAAAACATGTAGATAAAATTTGTGTTCAACAGTTCAGTACAAGATCAAGCCAACAGGATGGGTCAATATTCTAGCAGGCAGTCCTTACTGGATTGTTAAAAGCAAAAAAAGAGGACATGGTGGCAGAGGGGTGTGTGCTGGGTGGTGTATAAGGGCAAGAGTGTGAAGGTGATTGTGTATGCAGCTGTTGAAGAATAAATAAAAGATATGGTTAAAAAACTTGTGTTCAAGCACGAGTTGTACACACATTTTATAACCGTGTTTCTCATTATAGCTAGAGTATAAATACAACCTGCCCTAGTTTACCTTCCAACAACAATTTGTGAAGAAAAGGGTTTGTTTCAGTAAATATTTTATACTCCATAATGAAGAAAAGTCAAGGCAGGAAGCTGGAGGCAGTAGCTGAAACAGAGGCCATGGAGGAGTACTGTCTTTTGGCTTGATCATGTGGATTGTTCAGCATGCTTTCTTGTATAAAAGAAGACCATCCGCTCAAGGGTAGCACCACACACAGTAAGCTGAGTCCTCCTACATCAATTTTTTTTTGAGACAGGGTTTCTCTGTGTAGCTACAGTGCCTGTCCTGGAACTAGCTCTTGTAGACCAGGCTGGCCTCGAAATCACAGAGATCCAACTGCCTCTGCCTCTCATGTGCTGGGATTAAAGGCGTGTGCTACCACTGCCTGGCTACATCAATTTTTTAAAGATTTTTTTTATTATGTATTGAGTGTTCTGCCTGCATGTATGCCTGCATGCCAGAAGAGGGCACTTAGATCTCATTATAAATGGTTGTGAACCACCGCGTGGATGCTGGGAATTGAACTCAGGACATCTGGAATAACAACCAGTACTCTTAACCTCTGAGCCATCTCTCCAGCCTTCCTATATCATTTCAAGAAAATGACACACAACTGGTCTACAGGCCTATCTGATCGAGGCAATTGCTCAGAGGGAAGAGCATTACTAAGTTTGAGGCCTGTATTTTATACGCTATACAATGAGACTCTCTCAAAAAGCAAACCAACATAATGAAGAACTAGCACCTGGTATGACAGATATGCTTTAAAGGTATAACACAAAAGAATCCAGACATGAAATGTCATATGATACATTATTCAGATTATAACAAATATCCAGAATAGGTAAGTATACAAGAAGCACCATGTTAGTGGATACAGAGAACTGATGGAGGGTGTGAGAAGAATTATTGCTCAAAGGATATGGAATTTGTTTTTCTCTGAGTGATGCAATAATTCTAGAATTAGATAGGGGAATGGCTGCAAAACATTTTAAATGCACTTAATGACATTTAATTTTCAAGTGGTAAAATTTAAACTGGGTGTGGTGGGGATGTACACTTGTCACCTCAGTTCTTGGGAGACCAGGGCAGGAAGATCTTGACTCTGTGGCTAGTAAGGGCTACATAGTGAGTTTATGACCGGACTGAAAGGCATGGCAAGATCTTGTCTCAGGAAACAAACAATAAGGGACTGAAGAAATTGCTCGGTCAGTAAAGGGCTTGCCACAAAAATGTGAGAATGTCAGTGTGGATGCCCAGCCCACATGTAAAACTGGTAAGGTGGCATTTGCCTGTCTAAAATTCTTAGTGGTGGAGTAGCACAGACAGGAGCCTCCTTAGGGAAGCAAGTCAAACTGGGTGTGTGACCCCCAGGTCCAATGAGACACCTTGTCTCAAAAACTGAGTCTTGAGGCTTTTTCACACAAGCAGCAACAGCAGCAGCAACAACAACAATAAAAATGCATGGACTTTTTTTACATGCATTTTACCAAAATAAAGAAAATATGGTGTATGGACATCAAGGAACTGGCAGAAGACAGCTTTAGTGGCCCAGAAAGACAGTCACGAAACCATCACTCTGTAAAAGCACTTCATTATACACCTACCTTCTTTCTTCCTAGGGCTTCAGTAGAGACACCTCTCTTCTGCTTAGAGGAGATGGCTTCTGGTGACATCTCTGAAATTGTCTCTTTTATAGTATTCTTTTATATTTGAAAGTATAATATAATTTCATTATTTTCCCCCTTCCTTTTTCTCCTTCCAAACCATCTGTCCCATATGCTCTCCCACCCTTCCCTGCTCTTTTTCAATTGCATGACCTCTTTTTTCATTAATTGTTGTTATAACATACCCACACACAAACACACATAGTGTTAAATAGAACCTGCTCAATCTGTGTGTTGTTACTTGCATATATGTTTCCAAGGGAAATCATTTGATATTGGATAACCAATTAAAATTAGCTTTTAAAAATCAATTTAAAATTATTTTCTAATTAGGTATATGTGAATATCAGTGTGTGAATATGTACATGAGTGCAGATGCCCGAAAAGGCCAGAAATGATGGGTCCCAGTTGCTACCTGCCTGACTTAAGTACTCAGAACTGAACTCAGGTCCTCTCCAAGAGCAGCAAGCACTCGTAACCACTGAGTTGTCTCTCTAGCCACTTCTCTAAGGTTATCCTTGGAGGAAGGAAATGATGTTCTCTCTGTATATGAGATCTCAAGATGCTCTAGGGTGGGAAAGGACAAGAGAGAAATTAGAGTTCCAATATATGGTAGGTATGAAACTTTACTGGATTAAGTATGCAAAAAATTGCTCATGTCAAAAATGACTCCCTAATATTAGCTGTAGACTTCCTTAAATGGGGCAAGGGGTAAAATAAGTTAATAGCCTTGGATGTGAGTCAGTGATTGACAAGTAGAATTTACTGAATAACGACAGGTGTGTGTGTATGTGTGTGTGTGTGTGTGCATGTGATCATGCATGCAGAGGTCAGAGGTCAATGTCTGATGTCTTTCTTGATTACTCTTTACCTTATGTTTTTGAGACCAAGTCTCTCACTAAACTTAGAGCTACACTGATTGGCCAATGCGTTCCAGGTATCTGACCCTCTCCTCTCCCGTCTCATATTGCTGACGTTGAAGGCCCACACTCCTGCACTTGGCCTTTAAGTGGGTGCTGGTGGACTGAAGATAGGTCCTCATTGACTCCTCTGAGTGAGCAATCTCTTCAGTCAGAAGTTCTACTCTTTTTTTTTTTACCATTTACATTTGTGAAAATGAAAAAACAGACCTGAAACATAAAATTAGCTTCTTATAGTCACTCAGTCTCTCAGTCTGAAATTTCAGCAAATGCCCTTTTCTGACCCTGCTCTGGCACACCACCTTTTTTGGAACAGGGGCTGACTACCATAGTATCAACTCCAATTTGAGAAGGGAAAGAGCAACAGTGACCCTCAGGATTGAAAGTCTATGGAGGAAGGAGCTTGTGATGCCTCATTAATAATGTTTACAGTTCTTGACTACATGCTGAGGTGATAATTTGATTAGATAAGTTTATATAGTTGGTGAACAAATAGTGGATTAAAATTAATCCCTTCGCATCTCCTCTGTTTTCCTCCTTCCTCCATTTCTCCCTCTCTCTTCTCCTCCTTCTGTTTCACCTAAGTTCTTTTGTATCCCTAATTGACCTGGAACTTTCTGTACATAATAGACTGGCCTTGAATTTATAACGGTCCTATGTCTCTGCTTCCAAAGTGGTAGGATTACAGATGTGTGCTATCAAACCCAGAGAGCTCTCATTTCCCTTCCACTCTCCTCCTCCTCCTTCTCTTCATCTGCTTTGGTTTTGTATTTTGAGAACGGTCTCATGAATCCCAAATGTATAGACTTAAACTTCTGGTCCTCATTCTTCTACCTCCCAAATTCTGGGATTGTTGGTATGCACAATCTTCAATTTTCGTGATGCTGGGTTTTGAATGCAGGGCTTATATGCTAGACACACTCTCTTCCTGCTGAGCTACAACCCCAGTCCTGCAATTCTCTTTATTTCTTTAAAGCACCCACAGGAGAGCCTACAGTCACACTTGTAGCTCACATTATTGAATCTCAATGCTTGACTCTTTGAGAAACAATTTGGAAGTCTCTCCTCTTTCCCCACATTCCACCAACTACCAACCATCAAAGTTCCTGAGTGCTGTTTGTTCTCAAGAATCTCTGAGGCGACAATAAAGAGGATTACAAAATGAACAAGAAAGATTTTGCAGTGACAGGTCAGAACATGCAAGAGCAAAAGAACAATGAGAAATGGCCCCACCTATGGTTGGCGAGAGAAGAATGTGGTTTGGAATGAATAGGAATGTTGTTAGCCAATGTTTAGGGAAGTCTTTAAACCTGCCAATCACTGTACCACCTTCTACAGAACCTGATAAAGCCCAACTTGACTGAATAGGAAAACAACTAAAATTAGTAGCTCCGGAGGAGGCAGAGGCAAATTTTGCAACAGAATCCATGAAGCATGTGGGGCCTGTCTTCTTGCAGGCTCATCACTGCTCTTATATATGTTCTTTTCTGTGAACTTCCTGTGACTTATAAGAACAATTTTGTTCTTTCTGTCTTGTGGTTAAAGCTTTGAGCCTTTTCTCCACTGACCCAAACACAGACCATGCTTCTCTCTCTTTTTTTTTCATCCTCCAGCAAAGCCACTGTCCTCCACACTCCTGAAGGACCTTCTGTGGACCCACATCTATGACCAGAAGACCAGTTTTCTAGCTTCAAACCTTCCCTCTGTTCATTCCTAAAATCCTTCACAACTTACTTTTCTCTAGGAGTGCTATCCCTCACTAGTGCACATTAAGCACTTTTTCTTGATTCCTCCCAACGAATGAGCACATCAATATGCTCTAGAACACAGCATCTTTAATATAAGTTATCATTCACTTTTATGTCACCTTTTGTATCTCAACCATGCCTTTGACTTTCTTTTGCAGCAAAACACCTGAAAGAATGATATATATTCCTGCATTTACCTCTTTATCTTATATTTCACTACAATTGAAATTACTTATTCCTTTTTTTCCCTTTTATCTTTTTAGACAGGCCCTCACGTAGTCCAGGCTGACCTTGAACTTACTATAAAAGCCAAAGATAACCTTAGATTTCTGCTTCTCTTGCATCTACAACTCCAATATTTAGATGGCATGAGTGTGCCACTGTGTCTGATTTATGTGATAGTAGAGAGAAACCTCAGTGCTTGTTAGGCAAGCACTCTGTCTACGAAACTGCATCCGCATCCCTCTATTACACAGACCAAACTCTACTCTGCCACCAATCAGCTGAATATAACCTCACCAAATTGTGCAGACCCTCAGGCAAAGTTTTCTCACCTGTACTTTCCAACAGCTGTGGGCCTTCTTCCAGACAGCTCTAAGTCTGATCTCCTAGAGAGAGTGACCTGTCTCCAATGGCCCAACAGAAAATATACAAAGGAACGGGGGAGGGGTAACAGAACAGAAATGAATTGGGAAACAGGAAACAGGAAACCAGAGCTTCCTGTGATTTGCATTGACCATAGATCATACCCAAATTACATTTTTTTCTCAAAAGAATTTGGTGACTGGACTGGATCCTTCTTAGACGTTCAAGAGCCAGAAACCTTTTCTCTACTTCCTCATTGGTGGGATATAGATGGTCCAACCTTCCCAATATCAAAGGTGAAGGGATCTGGGTGTTCAGAAACCTCCTCAGCAATGGGAAAGAGGAGGAGGCTATGGGAAAGTGAAAGACAGAGATAGAGGGAGAGAAATAGAAATGAGAGACCCAGAGAAAAGAAGATTAATGTGAATAATTCAGACAGTCAGAGATACTACACTTAACCACAGTCGCCAAGATCAGTCCCATAAGAGCCTACACTTCTACCAAGTCACCTTGATCATTCATAACAGACACCCTTTAGAAAGTTTCCAAGGTAGAAAGGTATTGACTTTTTCTGGAAGGGTATCACCCCAGGCAGGACACCAGGGACAAAAAAACCGTAAAGAACATGCCAGGTTCAACTTGGCCTCACTGGCAATACTTACAAAAGTATACATGTATGAGTATTTACTTATAGGAACCAGGATGACTCAAAGGCTGTTGCATCACCAAAAGCCCACCATTCCTGAGTGACAGTGAAGAAACATAGCCAACCTGGAGCTCTCTCCAGCAGAACTTGCAGGCAACTCTTCAGGTTGGAGACTCTCTCTCTCACAGGCAGGCTGGTTAGTCTCCAGGCAACTTTGCCTCCTCTCTTCTCCCAAGCATTTGTTTACTGCTTTCTTAATCTTGTAGACGGTCCTATATATTTTGTAAGTTTCTGCCTGCCTAGGGGGAAATGTTTTAACTTTTAAATGCCTAGAACCTCAAGCATCCTCTCTCCAGGGTGGAATAGCTCAGAAGGAAAAATATTTGAGCATGCACGTGAAGTTATACAAAGGCACAAGAAACTCACAAGGAATTGAGTGGTAAAGGATATGGGACCCAGTCATGACAAGTTCAACAGAGGCCTGGGTCTTGGTAACTTACCCTAAGGTAATACCTAGTTCCAAGAAAGACTAAAAACTGAGATTACCCAGGCACCACGCAGGAACAGACCCTCCAAAGGAAATTCCTAATGTTCCAACCATTGTAGATAGGGTCACTGGCCAGCACACACCCATCACTTTTCACCAGTGCACCCCGAGACAAATGTCAGCCAATCAGGGGTCCTGGACTTTAGAAATCCCTCCCTCCAACTTTTGCTACTACCAAATACCAATGCTAAGTGAGCTTGGGGCTCTCTGATCACTCCAGTAGGTTGGACACACAGAGAGGCTGAGTTTGCAAACTTATGAAAAATAAAGGCTCTTTGCTTTTATATACAGGACTCTGTCTCCTAGGTAGTTTGGGAGGGGGGACTCCTTGATCTGGGCATAACAAAGGACATCACTTTACATAGAGAAGAACCCAAATCCCAAGAGAAAACAAGAAAGGGGATAAGTAGAGAGCAACTGTTGAACAGACCGTGAGGTCAATTGAAGTCAAATGGTTTGATGGGAGTCCCCAACAGCTCTTTCAGAGCCCACCAAATCTCTTCCTGAAGCACAGGGTGGCTTTGCTCTTTGCTGCTCAATAGCCTGCGATTACCACACAGCACCTGTGAGATTGCAGAGGCATGCATGTACGCAGTAGAGTTTAGAGGGTGAAGAAAAGCAGGAAAGTCCCAGGGTGGACTTCTTCTTTGTGTGACCACACTTGCACAATATAGGTAAAGCCAAAGGAAGTTGCTTTGGGCTGTGGTGGATTGGAGGAATGCCTGTTTGAGATACCAGTTCTCCTGTCAGAAAACAGACTACTGGCAATTCCCTTTGGGAACTGTGAAAGTTCTCAGAACCTGGGCTGGGTTGGTCACTAGTTGGGTGACCATTTAACCAGAGCTGAGTATTTTCTATCAAGGGTGAGAAAGTCAATATTTAATACCTGGTAGGCTTCAGGGTCCTCAGCTCAGCTGAATACACAGATAATATGCCAACAGTACATCATTTAATAACACAGCAATTGAATTTCACATCACTTCACATGCCATATTTTATTCTTTAGGCAAAAAAAAAAACCCAAAAAAACAAACAAAAAAACCCCCCAAAAAACCCACAAACAAACAAATGAACTGACAGGAAAACTATTCCTGGCCTGCAGGCTGTACAAAAACCAGTGTTAGTGGGCCTAGAGAAGAGAGCTAAATGGTCAATAGCACTTGATGTTCTTACAGATCACAACAACTGAACAGGTGGGGCTGGATGTGACCATGATTTAAGAGGCTCAGTCACCTCACCTGTGACTTCAGAGTCATAATAATGACATAATTAATTTTTACTTCAGTACATGTACCACAGATTCCAGTGTAATAAATATTATCTGCATCTTAGAAACCATCCTTATATGCTGACATTCTTATCTTCTGAGTAGACATTTCTGTCACACCTCCCTCTACGCACAGTCTGCAGCTCAGACTTTGCTCTTGAACTGTAGACACACCTTCAGACCCACCTCTAGAATTTCCTCTCATCAACTTTTTGCTTAATCCTGTCTTCTCTCCTAAACTGGGGTCTTCATTCTCAAGTTAAAGTCCAAACTCCCACTCCATTCAGAATGTGAATGTTCAGAGTTAGGGCGTTTAAAGAACTAATTAAAAATAAATGAAGTCATAAGGGTGGGACCCTAATTCAATATAAGTGGTGACCTTTTGATAGGAGAGAAACACCAGGGCTGTGTAAGTTTACAGAGATGTCTATAGAAGGACACAGATGGCCATCTGAAAGCCAAAGAGAAGCCCCAGGACCATCATCATGATCTGGACCACCAGCATCCCTAAGTATGACAAAATTAGTTGCTGTGCTTTAAAGACGCCCAGTGTGTGATGCTTAGAAAACTAACCCATGCCGCTTTAGTTCAGGGATTCCTACCTTTTTTTTTTTAAATAAATCTTTATTTATTGCATATACAGTGTT